GCCTCCTTGCTCTTCCACATCTCATAGAAAACCCATACCTCTACCCCCCTCACCTCTTCCAGGCCTCCTTGCTCTCCCACATCTCATAGAACCCCCCCCTCACCTTTTCCATGCCTCCTTGCTCTCCCACATCTCATAGAAAACCCATACCCCTACCCCCCCCTCACCTCTTCCATGCCTCCTTGCTCTCCCACATCTCATAGAGAATAAACATGTCTGAGCCACTGTAGGTAAGCACACTGACACTGGAATAAAAAATAATTTTTTTATAACTAGCTTCTGCCCAAATCACTATTCTTTCATCAACAATATGCAAGATGTTTGAACATGAGCTTTTTAGTTTAAGTTACCATTCTTTAATAAACTGACTATGGACACTTCAGACTTACTTTAGACATCTCTCATCCTTTTACAGATAAAACAGAACACTTTAAACTGACTTTAGACACTTTAGACTAACTTTAGACATCGCTCATCCTCGTTGGTGCCCTCTATGTACATCCTAAGACTCCCTCGGAAAGCTTTCATACGATCTGGAGACACAGGGAACCTTCTGTGAACCAGCAGCATCTGAAATAATCATTTCAACAGTCTCGGTAAGATTCTGAACATTTTTGTTCTCATCCAAAACATGCAAAATGAGAGGAAAATTTTCATGGAATAGCATGAAATGTGTAATCTTAGTGTATGACAAACACATTTTTTGGTACAAAAGAAAAAAAAATTCATCAGATGTTAATTAACATATTTGAATCTTATCTTTTAACCAAATGCAAACGAAAATATTATTTGCTTTTCAATTAATCCACTAGCTGAGTTTTACACTCCATGTTACCATTTGTTCTTCTGGGACATCCTTCTGTTCTTCCTTTATTCCTTCAAAATTCACCTGAAGTTAAGAATCTCTGCTCATGAAGATATTCTACCCTCTACCAGATTAAATAGGGAAGAATGGGAAAAGCCACAGAGGAAAATGACTGTCTATTTATCTAGAGACATATCTGTGAAAAATCAATCTGTCACCATGATAGAGAGTAAAGATATTACAGCTGACAATATATACAAGGCCATGTGTCAGAGGAATAAATAAGAATCACAAACCAGAGGTAGCAATATTTCTCAGGCTAATGTAACACAATTCAAAGCTTTCATTTTGTTAACAGAAGAACCTTTTTTCTTTCATGCTTTCACAAAATTTAATCATTTAAAAGAAAACCGTTCTTTTATTGATAATTTGATGTTTTTTCTGATAAGTTTTCAGTGCATACCCTATTCTCCAAGCGATCTACCAGTCCTCTCAACCTCTCTATCTGCATGTTCAGAGGAGCACTGCCTGAAAAAATGAAATGAGACATTTTCAGTTAAAACCTATATCATAGCCTTGGAATACTCTCTGCCATAGATCAACATTATAACGATTTCAATTCTGTGAAAATCTTCTTCCATAAAATATACACACAGTATAAGACATAATAATGCCTGTCGATATCTAGTGAAAACTTGAATCGCAACCCTGGTAAAAGGCATAGCTCTGGAACCAAATAAGAGCAAGGCTTTCAAAAGGAAAAAGAAAACANCAAGTGCAGTAGGTTACTGTGATTATGTATCGCAGGAAACGCAAAATATTTTCAAACAATTATATTTTGCAGAAAGACGAGATCATAAACTTTCAAATGCTATATCATAAGGTATGTCTCCTACAATTTTTACCCATTTTGTGTGGGGAAATAAGTGAATCTCCAAAACGACGACAAAAATGGAACCCCATTTTCGTCATAATTTATAGCGTCACGTGACCAACCTGAAGCACTGACCCGACTTAGAAAGACTACAAGTTTTCTTAAATATTCTGAATATCAGAGCAAACAGATTACAATGAAAATAAAAATACGAACAAGGACTGTACATCAAACATCAGATTTATTCCAAGAGTTATATGCTTCATTCTGAAAACGTCAAAAATGGTATAGTTATGATCCAACCCACAAGAAATCCAGTGTGAATTTTGACTAATATAGGAAGATATTGCTAGATCTACTATTTCTAGTGATAAATAAAACACGATTTTTTATTTGGATATACATTTAATGTACAATGAAGTACTGGCCTATGGCCAGGTTGTACTTTTTAAAGCCTGAAAGGGTTTTGATAATAAAAAAAATCATTCAACACCAGTTTATTCATTATATTAAGATCTGCACTAATGCCTTGTTCTCTTATTTTACTGCTCAAGATTTATTTCTATGTACTAGTACTATTTTTGTCTCTTACATATTAAACTATTTAAAATGAGACCCTTCCAATTATGATTTGAAAAAATCCCTAATCTATTTATGCAAAATATTAAAATCTGTGTAATAAACAAAACTAAGTAAACTTGTGTCCTTAAAACACTGTTCCTGGGAAATGTTCATTCAGCCTCATGAATATGCACTGAACTTTTTCAAAGTTTGCCTTTTAAATCAAAGCAGTTAACAAGGCTGCAATAAACTATTTGGCAAACTTGATCTGTCTATTCTGGGGGCAGGAGAAGCACCTGCCCCATCAAGTCATGAATATTACTTTAGCCAAAACTGACATACAAATAAGATCCTCCCCAGCTGAAAATTCTTAAATATAATTTGTAATTAAATAGTCTACATATCAAAGTAAAATGCATTAAAAATGAAAAAAAAAAAAAACTTCAGTATTGTATACGAGTATGTTTCAATTTTTTATTTCCCTAGAATCTTCAATGGTCAGGTCATTTACCTGGATATGACAATCAGAAAACTAAACCAATTTTCAAGTTCAAAATTGTGCTGTTTTCCCTGCCACCCAGTGGTTGATAGATTCCTTGACTAAATGATCATCAAAACTTGGCCCCTTAAAACTGCCGTCAAAAATTTGTTAACTTAAGCATAATATTCCCCAAACTTGACCTCCAGTCAGATTTGATTCTTTTGAGAGCACTGTATCCTCTCTCCACCTGAGAAGTGGACAGGCTGAACAAGGCAATTTCAGTTAGCATTATTGTATGTATTCTAATCTTTGTCTGGTCTCCTAGCCTTGAAACAAATCGGTACACGTCTTTTTTTTTTTTAATTCACTATAAACCTGCCACCTATGTACTCTTTAAAGGCAGGCCACTCTCAATGGAAGTCTTTTGGGTCAAAGCCCATCTTGTTTAATACTGGAAGAAAATAATGTTCCAGAACTAGTCTGCTATGAGAAAGGTTTCTAGGGTAAATAATATCCAAGACTCTACAAAACACCATCTCTTGTTCAGTCACACCTGCATCAACAGCACCATCACACAAAATTGTGTGGAAATAAATTTTCCCTGGTCTTGACTAGAACACCTCTTCCCTTATTGTCAGCTGATATGAAATTCAGGAATCTGTTAAAAATAATTATAATATAATGATAAAATCATACATGTGGAAACAAATTTATACAAAGCAGATAAAAACTGAAATTTAATGAAAAATCTATAGATTAAAAAAAAAATCACCTCATTGTCAGTCTCACACCAGTTGTTTATCAAAGTACTATATAGTATTAATAATTCCTTGGTCCTACTAGTAATAGGCCAGTTATAAAAAAAATACAGAAGTATTGGCTTTCTTTTTTTTTTTGATAAACACTTAATTACCTTCTAACTGGTATCTTTTCATTTCATGCCATCAAGTCCATTCTCATGCTAAAGCTTAGGCAGGGATAGACCTGTATGCTGTCAGCATTTCACTAAAACTGAAAAAGCACAATGCATAGGTCATAAAGTATGCTTTGGTCATAAAGTGTGGCTGTGCCTTGACAAACTATTTTTTAAAAACTTGTTTAATTTAATTTAAACTTATTTCATTTACTTTTATTTTAATACCAACAATTACAGATAAATAGAGAAAAATTGTAAAAAAAACACAATATTTAAACTTATAATGTAAAACAACTTTGGAACCTGCCCTAGAAAGACCTTTAGTACACCTGTAATGCTGATTGCGCAATGTGCTAGTTAACAGGTGTGTATAGACACACACCTCCTATTTTGGAAAAGGTCTAGATTCCAACTCCATAAAGGAAATAGAAGGGATAAAGGTACGCAAGTACACATTTTATGTAAACAAAGTGCAACTGTAACTTAATTTGCAACAAAATGTAACATTTCACTATGACTGAACGTCAACAAGTGCATTTGAACTATGCGAAGGGAGGTTACTCCAAAATCATTTCTATATATTTCGGCGCTTCTATGAGACTTAGTGAATGCAAAAAAGACTCACCTTTTAGTCTGCAAACCCAAAGCTATGTAACTTGAAAGGCAAACGGCAAAATTTTCCAGTCTGAAACCATGTTATAGCAGCGATATGGTCTATCTGCAGCACCGATGTCGTTTCTTCATGTATTGTTTTCCATAACAGCTCTCACTATGACAGTGACACACTGTATACTATAAATATACACTTGAAAAGCTGAACATTCCATATTTTCAACCGAAATGCAAGATTTACCGAGAAAAACGCTCTCGAGTCACTTGCTCAGTGCAACGTTACGTGACAGTCCCAATTTCGACTGACCTACATAATTCGCACTAAAATAGAGATTTTACAAAGAAGGAAGGTCTCACAAAAAAATTATTCTTCGTGGTGTAATTTGAGCATATATAGTTTCATAAATCATTATAATATCAAAAAATTAGGTTTGTCCATTTTTTCTGCAATCATTTCATTTTTGGGTAAAAAATTCCAAGTTCAGCTTGGGAAAAACGCGTGTGCTATTTTTAGACAGCTGATACAAATTTTTACACGGAAATGAAATGTTCATTTTACATTGTGCGTTTACATCAAGTTCTAAATTTTATTTTTTGAAAGTTTCAAGCGGAATAATGGGCTATTCACAGAGTTTCATGGATTTTCATAACAGATATGGATTTTGCAAAATATGGCGCGAAACACACGTCGCGGACTATTTTGTGCAAGCGCGTAGGATTTTTTGTAATAATCACCGCTTACGCATTGATATGCCAGATCTCCGGACAGACTGCAATGGCACAAAAATATACCACTGTTGAAATGCTTCTTTTATATATTACTGGCAGTACTTGAGCTAGTGCAACCCTTTGTAAACAAATCACTGCACCGCTCACAGTCAGTAGCTCCCTCCGTCAGGGGTCTCACGACTGCACGACACGGTCGACACCTACGCCTTTAACATTACGTTTTCACCCCTGTTTGTTTGTCTGTCTGTCTGTCTGTTTGTTTGTCATCAATATAACTCAAAACGTTATGGATGAATTTCAGTGAATTTTCAGGGTAGGTCAGAAATAGGTTAACTTAGAAGTGATTAGTTTTGGGGGGGTGATCCGGATCAATAATCAATCAATAATCAAAAATCAGAAAAACTAATTTATGGATCGTTTCTGATGAAATTTTCAGGAACTGTTAGATGTGGGCCAAGGAACAGATGATTATGTTTTCGATGGTGATCCGGATCAATAATCAATCAATATATTATTGGTTGTCATAGTAGTAATGGTTATAAATCGTGGTTTATCAAATAGAAAAATAGATACGTGCACATATGTAGGCTAGCTATTTGTTTACTGGCACCCCGGGGCCAGTAGGGCCTTAGCCTATATAGGCTAGGCCTATTATGTAGAAATTGCAGATGGGCTTTTAAAAATCATCAGGAAACTATAAACTTGTAGCAAATTATATGCGACTGGTATCTACAGAACGCGTTTTAAATTTCTTTGATGTGCTCGATCACCATCAATTGATCTGGACCCATCTCACACTTCACACCCAAACCCAATAGAGTTGCATTTCACAGAAATAAATAAATAAATAAATAAATAAATAAATAAATAAATAAATAAATAAATAATTTAAAAAACATGAAAAAGTTCGAAGTACAATTCCATTTTCATAACATACATGTGTGAAAAAAAAAAAAAAAATCCACGGTTGTCTCAATTTTACATTTACATTTAATTTTTAACATGTCTATTCGGTACGTAACCCTGTATGCAGAGAGCCTCAATAGTAGGCCTACGCCTACGGTTCGTTCCTGTTAACGTATCTTCTTGGGCATATAATTTTAATTTTCATATCGCGTTCCGATATATTTTGTAGTGATTTAGTCATGGTAAATTAATTATATATGATTTAAGGCGGCCTTTATAAATATTAATATAACATAAGGGGCTTTGTGTCATGGCTAATAGGCCTACTGCGTTAACTTATGTTCCGTAGAAAATTGTCAAAACGTTTCGTTTTCCCCAAGTTCTTCGTGCAAAAGGAAACAGGGTTTTCTGTTGCTGACTGAAAAATATAATTTGATTCCACGATAGCATTTCTGAATCAGTATATACAACCTCGCCCCATGTCAAAAAATAAATAAATAAATAAATAAATAAATAAATAAATAAATAAATAAATAAATAGATAGATAGATAAATAAAATAAAAATAAATAAATAAATAATTTAAAAAAAAATCGTAGTGCCCTTCCACATTCCAAATGGTAGTAGATACATTTCATGTGCCTAACTCTAATCGACTATATTATATCAGTGGATAGCAGAAATGACGTCGTAAAATTAAATTATAATCAACCACCCACAGAACGACCACACCCCGAGACACAAGAAAATTCCGAAGAGCCTCTGCAAGTCCCTAAAGAAACGCTGTGTTGACTGTTTACTAGTCTCTTACGATTTTTAACGAATGTCAAAATTTTTAATGACTCAAAGACTTTAATATTTATAAACTCATAGTTTTTAATAAATAGAGTAAGCCTATAGTTTTTATACAAGAACGCTATTTTCTTAATCCCGGAACTTCCATACAACACGATTCTCTAGTAAAAGAGTTAAATATTTATTTGACATGAAATGACCAGTTTGGCAAGAAATATATATGGTGATTATTTCATTCACACACGTGTTATGCACATGTACGTTCACATTTTATATATCATACACATGTTAAACTTACGGTAATACATTTACAGTATACATGTATGTAGATAGATAGATAGATGGATGGATAATTAATATCATCGTGAGCAGGAGGTAAAAATGATTTATACAAACCCCAGAACACACTAGATATACATGTACATACAATCAACCTAACAAAAACAATTTCATAATTTTCACTCCAGATGGACATCATACATGACAATAAAATGGCAACACAATGTTAACATTAGGAAAATAAATGTACTAGTGCAAACTACCTGTTGTAAACCATAGCAATTTTGATTACATGTGTTTTCAGTGTTTTCTCATGATTCTCTCGACCAAAGCATCTTAACATCCACAGATATAATGTTTACTACATATACATTTCATATATATGTATAATAATTTAAGTATATACATGTTATTTTATACTAGCTTTGCAGAGTTACAGTGTTACTATATATATGACCATTGTATCGCCCTTTCTAAGTACAAAGCACAAGGTATGTAAGAGCATTTCTGTACATTTTTAAGCATCTGTAGCCGTTTCTTCACCTTGGATTTATCACACACTTGACAATGCAATAACACAACTGTTCAAAGAAATCCAGCCGATGTATATGGAATATATGTGAATGCGCAGTATTGACAAGTTTTAAAACTTGATAAACAAATAGAGTTTCAGTTTGTCAATAGTTGCAGAAAACATACCTTTAAATTACTGCTAGAAGATCAAGAAATGGCTGGTAAATTTCATTTCTAAGTCTACGGACAAGTGAAATTCAATTTGTTCATTGAAAACACATTGCAAATGAAATTGTTCAACCTTAAAATTTGATAAAATCACCAATGACAGATACAGCATAACGGCAGTTAAGAGATCCATAGGCCTAACCTCAGCAATTTTATATAAAAAATTCTCTGGGTATTACAGTGCTCTGTGTCTCATTTCTGATATTTCTTCCTGTTAACTACGGAACAGGGACTGATCACGAATCCGTGGTTTTGTTTCGGAGGGAGAGGGGAAGTCCCCTGGGCCACTAATCTATATCTGCCTCTGACGTGAAATATTTTACATAACGTCCTGGCAATTGAGTAAACCACCCTTTCCTTTAAACGATTGAGTGCAATTCTATCCATTTTGAAGAAAGACAGCATTTATGAAACATCCGGTATATATTATACTACGTTCATCTACATATGTCTTAGATTTAATGATATTATGGTTTGGAAATATCACGTTTGGTAAATGTTCAACAGATGTATTCTAACCTTATTAATAACCGACCTGACATTGTGTACGTACTTATAACCTGGCCCCCGTTTCACAAAAAGAAAAATAAATAAATAAATAAAATTACCAACGTAATTATGTCCTTACGTCACTTACGTCGTTTTTTTCTTATCTGCTAGTCGACGATGTTTATAGTCTCCTCGTGAGTAGACTTTTAAAAGTCAGCAAGCTCAACTAAAACTCGGTAAATGAGAGCATAAACAACAAAAAATTGGAAAGAACATACAAATATTGTGTTATAATATCCCTGAATAACACTGACATTTATTGAATATTTAAATAAAAAATAAAATGCAACTATACCTTTCTTTTAAGTTAAACTACAATGTACTCAATAAAGTTGGAAAACAAACCTTGTTTATGTTTTGACTGATTTTTAATGTTGAAGAACGATCGTTCTCGGCCAAAAGAGGCCATGAAACGTCATGTCAGGTGAAACTTTCGGAATTTTTCTTGAAGAGTTTTTCGTGCGCGTCGACTACGGTAAGCACACCGAGCTAGGGTTTTAGATTTTTTGTGAAACTCTCCTAGTCGACTGCAGCGTAGTCGACCTAGCTAGGTCAATCAGCTCGAGCTAGTCAACTACGGATTTAAGATTCTTTGTGAAACGGGGGCCTACTTTGTCTGACAAACGATTACTTAGTTTCTCATGCGTAAACTGTGTTTACAACATGTTTTATAACGATAGTCCGAAGGTTCATTGGTCCGAAAAATCCTAACATTTTCACCAGTCTTTAAATCAAGGGTTCGTTGGTCCGAAGGTTCTGTAGTGAACATTAAGACCAATGAACCTTTGGACTATTAAAACTTTGGACTATTGCTACGCCCTCCTCCAACCCCAAAGACAAATACTGTTCTTAAGCGTCTTATATTAATTATTTTAGTAATTTTCTTTAAAAATGCTCTACCACATAGGTGAGGATGAATGTGAGATTGCAGTTTTGACTTCTTAAGTACGAGAATGTTTTGTGAAGTCACAGCCACAGGTAAGCAAAGATCAGTTAGAGATCGGGAAATCGCAACACAAGTCTGGAAAGTGGTCTTGGGAAGATATCACATAATAAGGTTATTGAACGCACTACGGGTTGACAACTACGACAAGTCTAAGGGAGATATGATATGTGGATGTTCTACAGGTTTGAACTGGAAGCTCTCCTTGTGACAAAGAAAACTGAAAATCATATTAAAATTTCTAACAAAGCTTGAAATTCCGACCAACAATCGATTCGCTTGTTCAAATACGCATTTAACTATCAATTTTAAAAGTGGCAAGATATTTGCTCATATTCAAAAGTATTTTGAAAAGATATACCTAAATATCCAGAGACTTAATTTCACCATGTTTGGGATCTTATTGCTTTACATAAACTTCAAGAGCAAGAAAGTTCCTCTGCATGTATACTTAACATTGTCACTAAGGGCAAGCTAGGCCAACATTCTGGTATGTCTTAGCAATACCAAGGTGTTTCTCACCAAGTATTTCTTTGTGAATTTCAGGAGATTTTCCATAATATATCATATGTAAATGCCTTTGCGACCTTACCCAATATGTGAAATGTACTGTCAATTTTCTGGTATGTTGTAGCAGTATATAGGTGTTTCTTAGCAAGGGTTTCTTTCTGGATTTCAGGAGATTTCTCATCATATTTAGGTGCAACTGCGAGAGATTTCTCAAAATATAGAAGTGCCTCTGTGTGCCTACCCATGTCACATAGGGCACTACCAATATAATTGTATGTCCCTGCAGTATCAGGGTGTTTCTCACCAAGGGTTTCTTTCTGGATTTCTAGAGATTTCTCGAAATATGTAAGCGCCTCTGCGTACTTACCCATGTCACATAGTGCACTACCAATATTATGGTATGTCCCTGTAGTATCAGGGTGTTTCTCACCAAGGATTTCTTTCTGGATTTCGAGAGATATCTCGAAATACGTAAGTGCCTCTGCGAACCTACCCATGTCACATAGTGCACTACCAATATTATCGTATGTCCCTGCAGTATCAGGGTGTTTCTCACCAAGAGCTTCTTTCTGGATTTCAAGAGATTTCTCAAAATATGTAAGTGCCTCTGCGTACTTACCCATGTCACATAGTGCACTACCAATATT